CCTTGGCGGCTGCGCCCGATTGGGCGTCTGCGGACTGGTCCGTCCTGCTCGACTACCGCGAGTGCGTTGTCCTCAAACTGCTCGAGCGCAAGAGCGGCCGCAAGCCCACCGTGGACGCCGTCATGGAGGCGGACCGCCAGATGAGGGCCAAGTGGGTTGAGGCAGTCCGCAACGACAGGAAGTCCCTCACGGAGGCCGTCCAGACGTGCCGCACGGAATGGGTGTCCTTGTTTTCGGAGCTCCACAGCGACCGTTCCGGCGCGGACGAGGGCCCGCAGCAGGCGCCTCCGAAGAAGGCCCGCGTGGGTCTTCCGCGCGTGGAGTCCGTCGGTGGCAAGCAGGTCTGCACGTTCTACAACGAGGGGAAGTGCACTTACGGGAAAAAGTGCAAGTACCTCCACGTGCGCAACGTCAAGGGGCGCGGCCAGGAGCACCCGGCGTGCGAGGCCCACAAGGGGGCGTGAACCCCCGCCCGCCCGAGCCACGGGCCATCCCAGCGAGGCTTGGTTGACGATTGTGACGACGTTTCTGGGCCACCAGAGAAGCGTCTGAGAGCGTCATCTGAGAACTCGCAAGGTGTGGAATGGCAGGACCCGGCCGGCGCGGCTCCAGCGCCAGCGCGGGCTGCCCGCGTGGCGGCGGGAGGACTGCAGCCTCGCGGCGCTGCCCCCCTCTCGTGCCGGAGGGCGTGGGGCCCGACGGTTTCCTGCACCGCGCGGCGTCCGTGGTGCGCCCCACGCAGGCGCCGCCTGTCCTGCGCGACGCCGCCGGCGCAGCTTGCCAGCGACAGCCGGCCGACGCAGGCGAGCTTGTCGAGAGGAGAATGCGGGCGCGCGCGCAGATCTCGGAGTGGTCGAACGAAAGAGCTCCAGGATCAGAGGCGCGCCTGGTCAGAGTCGCTGCATCCAGACGTGAAGTGTGTCATCGGCCACTTGCACGGACCGTTGCTCCAGAAACTTGTGGCCATGTCGAACCACCCCGATGTCCGGCACTTCGAGTCCATGTCCGCAGGCCGGCCAGCCTTGGGGCGGATTCAGACTGCAGGTGCGTGTGCGGGGGGGGGGGGGGGTCGCCAAGGAACGCGGCAAGGCGCTCCCGACCAGACAGGCAGCGGGGGCACCGCCAAATCAGGTGTCCGGCTGTTGGCGCCCGCGGCATCGCGGCCGCCACCAGCCGCCAGGCCGGGGCAGCAGCCGATAGCAAGGTCGGGGGGCGGATATACCGAAACTCGAAACCGATTTCCTCCTCTTCTCCCCCCTTGTCCCTACTCCCCTTCCTCCGGCCGCGCAAGCAGACGGCGGTGCCTTCGTTGCCTGCTATACAACAAGGAACAGCGCCCCTCCCCGCGTACGTCGCAGGCGTGTGGCGCGTAGCAGAGCGAACGCCACAGGTGGACCTGGCGGAGTGGCTCAGGGACGCGCCAGACCGGGATGTCAGAATTGTCGACGCTGTCAAATCCTCCGGAGATGTGCTGCTCGACAAGATGGCATGGGAGAAACGGGAGGCTGAGATCGCGTCCGGCGCTGTGCAGGGCCCGTTCAGTGTGAATGAAGTGGACTTGCCGGCCATCGCGGTGCACCCGAGCTTCCCAGTATGGGAGCGAGGTTCACAAGGCCAATGGAAAGCACGCAACATTGAAAACTTGAAGGCAAGTGGGGCCAACGCAACAGTGCACACGTGCGAGGCGTGCGCCCCTGGCGACCTAGACGCGGCGAGGGCAGCCGTCAGGTTCTGCAAAGAGCTCTGGGGCGGCGACGAGCCTTCGGCGGGCTTCTCTTCTGACTACAGCGGGGCCTTCCGGCAAAACCCCCTGTCGCCCGATCAGATGCCATACGTTTGGTCTGCTCTGTGGCACCCGGGCCGCAGAGAGCCAGCGTTGCTGAGAAATCTTGGGCAGGTGTTTGGCGGCGCAGGGACGCAGTTCAATTATGTCGGAGACCCTTCAGCAATGTGCTCGGTAATGCGTCATTTCTTCGACGTCCCAATGCATCATTATAGTGGCGACGCATGGGCTGTGGAGCGCGCGTCGACTGCGCAGTCTGCGTGGTTCTGTTGGGCGTGGCTCAACAAGGAGGTGGGGTGGCGCCTCGACTTCGCCAAATCACCGCTGCCGTCGGGCACCTGGAGGTTATTGGGCGCAGAGCTCCATGTGGGCTGCCCGCAGCCCCTGGCCCGACTGCCCCGGGACAGAGTGACAGCGCTGTTGGCCGACCTCGAGTGATACCTGCAGCGGGGTCGTTTGAGTTCAGCAGAGGCCGGATCCTTGCGCGGCCGGCTGGGCTGGGCGCGCTCTTTCCTGTTCGGCCGGCAGGGTGCCGCTGTCTTGGTCCCGCTGCGGCGCAGACAGTTCGACGATGAGGATCGACGCGGTTTACCCGCTTCCTTGCGAGCCTCCTTGTCTTGGTTCTGGGCCGCAGTGTCAGAGCAGTCAGGGCGCGAAGTTCCTTTCGACCTCGGGGATTGGCCCCTCCTGGCCACCGTCAGCGACGGAGAGGGCACTGGGCGCATCGCGGTGGGCATTTGGAAGCCGCGCGACCCAGGATTTCGCCCCATGCTCACGGCTGCCAACGTCCCATCCGAGTGGTTTCGCCGGTGGTCAGATGACGGCCGCCGCGGCAACGCCATCCAGGAGATCGAGGCAGTCGGCCCGCTTCTGGCCTTTGAAACGTGGCCTTCCCTGTTGACCGAATGCGCGTGGATTCAATTCATCGACAACGAGGGCGCCAAGCATTCCCTCATCAAAGGGTCCTCCAAGGCTGTCCACGCCAACCAGATCATTTTCGCTACTTGGGAGGCGTGCCGTGCCCGGCGTTTATATCCATGGTGGGAGCGCGTCTCCTCGGCAGACAATCCGGTTGATAGGTCTTCTCGAGGTGACCTCAGCGACCGCTACGGCCAGAATTGGGAGATCGTCGAGCCCGTCCTGCCTGCGCTGTAGAACGGGGGGCCGGATACGGCGGAGGCGTGGGGGTGAGGCCTGGACAAAGCCGCGCGCCCCCAGACACAGACAGAAGACAGCACTGCACACCTATAGCCAAAGAGAGTCCCAGAAAAGGGGGGAGGTAGGAGGAAGGAAAGAAAGGGGGGAAGGAAGAGGCACTGGAAGGACGGGAGGAGGTAGAGTGATAAAAAAAACATAGTGTGGGGACGATTCTTCGACTATTTGTTATTTCGCCTCCAAGATTTGTTTGAGTATTTATTCGACGATTATTCGGTTATTGTTTGGTACCTTTTATTTGTCCTCCAACATCCGTCTGCAGGGGGACATGCCCGACCTAACGCTGGTCCCATTTCAGTCTCCCCTCGCCGGCGTCCCGTCGTCCCCCACTGCCAGCGGCAATCTCCCGCAGCAGTCTTCGAGCGTGCGTGTGCACCTGTTGGCGCTCGAGAGGGTGCCGTCGGCAGTGCCGAGGCACATCGCAAGGCAGCCCCGCGGCAGTCCCGTGCTTGTCCACCCCCCTCGACCTGTCTCCTGCTCTCCTCCCTCCTCCTCCTTCTCCTCCGTCCTACTCTCATCCTCGTCCTCCTTTTCGCTCCCCCTCCACCTACCTCCTGCTGTCCTTCTTCTTCCTCTTCGTCGTCGTCGTCTTCCTAGCCTCCCCTACTGACGCGATGCTGCACACGCGGCTTGAGAGAGCCGCGCCGCTGCGAACACCAAGCGCTTTGGCGGCCCCCAAGGCGCGCGCCTGCACTCACTCTTGACATAATTATCGTCGATGTCTGGTTATCTTTATTGTGGTGTTTACGTATGTTCACTGGAGCGTTCGGAACGCAGACCACGCCAGGTTGCACAACATCAGTGAAGAATTTTGACTCGTGGTTATTATTGCAGTCGCCAGCGTTGGAGAACGGGCGATGTCTGGTCGTTTTACGGTCTTCACGAGTTTGAAGTATCATTTTGCCTTGGGATGTGGGTATGCTCCGAGTCGGCATGTGAAAACGTCTTGTGGCATCGCACTTCTCCTGAGGTGACGGGTGTTCGAGCACAAGAATGTTATCGACGTCCCTTTTGTGTTTGCTGACGTGCAGGGCCGAGTGATCGCGTTTTGTCCAAGGTCGGGGAGGTTCGACCTGCTGCTCCCTGTCACGTATTTCCGGCCTAATCTTAGCCCGCGCCGTCTAGACCCTGAATGTACAGCTCAGACATCACAGGCTCGGTATCGGGCCACAGTGGATGCAACATGTCAGTGGTTTGCGGAAGGGCCAACATGGTCACGGCGGCGCTCGTATCAGATTTGGGGATCTGACTTGCATGATTCGTACGGACGGAGACGCCGATCTGCTTGTGCGCAGATTCGCGTTGTGTCAGAGGCGCTCGGAGATTCCGCACGTGACGAGCAGCACTACGCGGCCGACCAGGTACTGGAGCTGACGAAACGACACCCAGCGTCTGCAACCACGTCCTGCTACAGCATATGATCCACGTGTCTTGGAGCCCATTCGTCTAGCACCCTGGACTACATATCCGTTTCTCGGGGGCAAGTCTCGACAGTCACACATTGCGCAGCGTTGAGACAGTCGGGTGTGCGGCTTAAGTTGGCTGGCGTTCGAGGCCTGCCCGATCACGTACCACATTTGCTCAAGGTGGAATCCAGTTTTCAGACGGGTGCTTCTCTTTCGGATTGGGATCTCGATGTTCTATCTGGTGCTCTTCCTCCAGCGCCGCCCCTGGCGCGTCTCGCACTCCAGGGTGCTTGGCATCGCTCGGACGCGTGCGCTCTTCTCGTCGAGGCCAGCGCCAGAAAATTTGAACCGTCTCGAAGCATCCTGGGTCACCTTGAGTCAGAGCCCCGAATCATCAGGGGTAACTCGGGTCATGGCTAACTCGGGTTCGTTTTTCGGGATCCCGAACCCGAGTTGTCCCGCGGCCCGTGCCCGAGCTACCCCGGATAATTCGGGCGTCCCGAGCTCGAACTCATCAGGGGTAACTCGGGTCAGGGCTAACTCGGGTTCGTCTTTCGGGAATCCAATCCCGAGTTGCCCCAGACCCGCGCTACCCCGTATAACTCGGGCGCCCAATGGAGAACAGATCACGCACGACAGCTCGCAGTGCACGGGGCATGGAGATCCGCAGGACGGCGGGGGAAGGCGGTTCAGCGCTGACCGAAGGAGTCCGCCCAGACCTCAGACAGCATGAGCGTCTTGAGATCGGATTTCTCGTTTGAGCGCTGATCGCAGTGTCAGGCCGGGGCGGCATCGTCGCTATCTATGATGGATGGTGGTCCGCGTTGTTTGGGGTGCTGTCCAGGAGTTTCATTCGGCGCCTATCTGTCCGTCAATACTCCCATCCCACTCCCAACTCTCCGACTCCGGCTGCCAGTTTCCGACCCTGGATCCCCCTGCCCGGCTCCAGCTTCTGAGCGGCCAGCCCGTGCCGGCGCCCCGGCGCCCACCCGCCGCAATTTCGTAGGTGCCTCGACGCGGGTTCTTGTCTTGTCCTGCATTGTCTTTCCGTCAATATGTAGGAGTACTTTTACAGGCTGCATCCTCGCCGTTGCCCGCAACTCCGTGCTCGCCTCCAGATCGGGGGCGGCCGGAATACCCCGCCCTCGAGGGAAGAAGCGCGTTGACCATGACGCCAGCTCTGGTCATCGTCCATGCCGGCCGTCGCGGATCCACCAGGATTATCCACGCATTCTGGCTATGCGTACCCATCGGTCGTTGGAAGCAGTTAATTTTGGATTGCCAGCTTCCCATCTACTTGAAGCGCCTTCCTACTTCAATTATCGAGTGGCTTTACCTTATCCGTCCTCCTGAGGGGGCGTGCGGCATTCAATGGGTAAGAATGAGTTTTCGCCAGACTGCCGCTTGGTGCGGGCTCACAGGGGTCCCCCCAGCACTGGCGGGCGCGCTCGGATTTGGCCACCGCCTCCCCCAGATACCGCGCACCACAGATCACTCTTGCCTAGGTCACTCTCGCGTGTAGCCGAGCATCGGTGGCCAAGATTGACGTTGTCGGCGGAGTTGGACGAGGATAAATCCCTTCCAGAGCCTTGAGAACGCTTTCGGAACTTTCCGGGACGCTCTGAGAACACCGTGGCGCCAGAGACGTCCTCCAGAGCCGCCAGATGTCAGAGATTTCCGATGTATCATCACCCGATGTTATTTTCGCCCTGGCTTCGCTTCGGAGGAGCAGGAGGACGAGGAGAATAATGAACAGGAGGAGGAGCAGAGGAGGAGGAGGAGGAGGAGGAGGAGGAGAGGCCGATGTCATCCTCGTCCTGGCTTCGTTTCACGGTGACTCGGATCGACACCGACGTGCCCGCGGTCAGGCTTGGCCACGGCCCTCGCCTGCCTTCTCCTCCCGGCGCACGGCGGCCGCCTGCGCGCCCCCGAGGGTGGCGGGGCGGCGGCCAGCTGCACACCCCGGGGGCAACGACAGGGGGTACAGTCAAAAACCCTAATACGGACGCGCGACTTTGCTCAGGGTACCCTTGCGTCCTTGTTCTTCCTTGCTCTTGCGTCCTTGGGGTTTTCGTCGTCCGCCCGCCCAAAAACCCCAACCTCGGCTTCCAAGGGTTGCGCCCTTACCGCGCGCCCTTGTCAGGGTTTTTGACTGCACGTACGCATTGACACAGCAGGTGGATTTACCCTCAGCCGTTTTCTTGGCATGTCAGAGGAGGAGGAGGAGGAGGGGTACGCACGTATTGGCACAGCAGGTGGATTTACCCTCAACGTTTTTTCTTGGCATGTCGGAGGAGGAGGAGGAGGAGGAGGGGTACGCACGCATTGGCACAGCAGGCGGATTTGTCCTCAACGTTTTTTCTTGGCATGTCAGAGGAGGAGGAGGAGGGGTACGCACGTATTGGCACAGCAGGTGGATTTACCCTCAACGTTTTTCCTTGGCATGTCAGAGGAGGAGGAGGAGGAGGGGTACGCACGTATTGGCACAGCAGGTGGATTTACCCTCAACGTTTTCCCTTGGCATCTCAGAGGAGGAGGAGGAGGGGTACGCACGTATTGGCACAGCAGGTGGATTTGTCCTCAACGTTTTTTCTTGGCATGTCGGAGGAGGAGGAGGAGGGGTACGCACGTATTGGCACAGCAGGTGGATTTACCCTCAACGTTTTTTCTTGGCATGTCGGAGGAGGAGGAGGAGGGGTACGCACGTATTGGCACAGCAGGTGGATTTGTCCTCAACGTTTTTTCCTTGGCATGTCGGAGGAGGAGGAGGAGGGGTACGCACGCATTGGCACAGCAGGCGGATTTGCCCTCCACGTTTTTCCTTGGCATCTCAGAGGAGGAGGAGGAGGAGGAGGAGGAGGAGGAGGGGTACGCACGTATTGGCACAGCAGGTGGATTTTCGGGTCGGGCGAAAGGGGGGGAAAGGGGGGGGTACGAAATTTGCTGCATGCAGCTGGTTTCGGCCTCACCGAGAGGCCCATTCCTCGATACATGGCCGCCTCCCGGCGCCGGGAGGCGCCGGGAGGATCAGCTACGCGAGCTGATTCTCAATCCCCCCCTTTGCTATCCCCCCCTTTCGCCCGACCCGAGATTTGTCCTCCACGTTTTTCCCTGGCATCTCAGGGGCTCCCGGCGGTCTCCCAGCGCCGGGGTGCTCTCCAGCAGCTGCGCCTCGTCGGGGGCGCTCCCGGGGGGGGGGCCGGCCTCGCTCCCCACGGCCGCCGGAGCGCCGGGTGCTGCCCCGAAGGCCAGGAGGCAACGACGGGGCGGGGGCAGGCACAGGGGCACAGCGGGGATGCCTCGACCCCCAGTCGCTCGATTCGAGGTTCGAGGTTTTCGGTCGTTCTCGTTGGTGCGCGGCGGCTTTCCGGCCTCGGGATGCGTTCCAGCAGCTGCGCCTCGTCGAGGGCGTTCCGGGGGTGCTGGAATCGTTCCAAACGGCCGCCGGAGGCCCGAGTTGTGGCCCGAAAACCATGCGGGGATAGGCATATCGGGGGATGCCTCGACCCCCAGTCGCTCACTGATCGCCGCTGGGGGCCCGATGTCCCCAGCCTGCCCGGGATCGTGCGGATTCACTGTCGGGGGCGCATCGGCGAGGTATCGGCGTTGCTAAGTCGATGTGTGCCCCCTCCTCTGCCAGTCTCCCCTATCGTTGCCCCTCAACACCGTCGCTCTCTTCTTCCCCAGCAGCGCGCCTGCCTGCGGCTGGGTCGCGCCGCGCCCCCGGGGCAGACCTCGGGGCAGCCTGGCGGACGACCCTGAGACGGCCTCGGGCTGTCTCCTGGGAGCAGGAAGCGCACCACCACCACCACCTGGAGGACGGAGGCAGACGGTGGTCGGGGGTGGTGGTGGTGGTGGTGTACATCGTTTCGGGCGCCCTCGTCGGACATCATGCACACCTGCGTCCCGCAGATCAGCTCATCCTGCATGCCACCGGGCGGCCTCGGGCTATTTTCGGGGAGCAGGAAGCGTACCCCCACCACCACCACCACCAGCTGGGGCGAGTCAAGATGAGCTGATCCGAGGGATGCACTCGTGCATGATGTCTCGCGAGGGCGCCCGAAACGATGAACATTGGAAACCCACGCCAAGAAACACCCTGCCTGCGGCGACGGGCGGCGACGAGTGGGCCGGACCGCCATTGGGGCCCAGTTACCTTAGAACCGAAGTAAGATGTTGTAAGTGCAAGCGTTGTTTAAGGAATTACCTTTCGATGGTCCGTGTGAATGTCTTGGATCGGCGCATCTTGTGCGGCTCCCGGCGCGCTCCGCGCGCCAGGGAGGGGGGTCCCAGCGCCGATCCAAGCAATGCGCGCTTCGAAATTATGTATTTTGTTATATCTATGTATGTACGTGCGCATCTGCGCCATTTGATGTTCCTCTAGGAGGGGCCCGACCGTTGCGTGTCTAACGATCCACGCGCTGCCAGAGACCAGAACGGGCACCGCCACGACACGAGCCTTCCGTGCGCAGGAGTCGAGCTCCCCAGAAGATGCCCATACACCACCGCCGTAGCCTGCCAGGGCCAACCTGGGACCCAGACTGGTGTACGGACGTCTAGTGGAACGAATGATGACATCAAGAGAACAACTCGGAGTTCCGCGCAGATTTCTCTGATCCGCGCTGGACCCCCCTGGCGGCGCCTCCGGCGCCGCCCCTGAGGGAGGGGGGGTCCAGCGCGGATCCGAGAAATCCGCACGGACCTCCGAGTGGATATGTTTATGTCCTTCTTCGTGTCCCTAGTAGAAGACTTCGTGGCCTCGGCCAGGAGGCAATGCACACCACAGTCGGGCACAGGGTGGCCTAAGTCAGGCCCGGCGGTGTGCACGTGAGCGACGCAAGACAATGGGGTCGTCTGCGTCGACATTGGCGCGTAAGCTGCCCGCGTAAAGTCGCGCGTGAGCTCCCTGGCGTGCCGCGCTGGCGGCTTGCGTAAGGCACCGCGTAAGGTTGCTATGCCATCTCGCGTGAGATCCCTTTCTTTTCGTTGCTCATGTGCTCTTCCTGCCTAGGAGCCAAGCGGCCTGCATTGCTGCGAGATCGGCCGGGGCCATGGCCAGCGGGTGGCCGGGCGCATGCGCGCGGTCGACAGCCGCCGCCCGCCGCTGCCGAAAACGAGGAAAAGACTGGTGCGGGGCATGGCGATCTGGGCTCGGCGCTTCAGGTCCAAGAGCATCCGATCGTGCTGTTTCATGGCGCAAGGGGGCCTGGCATGCCCGCCCCCTCACAGAGGAGGAGGAGGAGGAGGAGGAGGAGGAGGAGGAAGAAGAGGAGCAGGAGGAGGAGGAGCAGGAGGAGGAGGAGAAGGAGGCAGAAGGAGGAGGAGGAGCAGGTGGAGGAGGAGGTGGAGGCAGGAGGAGGAGGAGGAGGAGGAGGCAGGAGCAGGAGGAGTAGGAGGCATGAGGAGGAGGAGGATGAGGAGGAGGAGGCACGAGCAGGAGGAGGAGGAGGAGGCATGAGGAGGAGGAGGAGGAGGAGGAGGAGGAGGAGGAGGAGGAGGAGGCACGAGCAGGAGCAGGCAGGAGGAGGAGGCCGAGGAGGAGGAGGAGGAGGCACGAACAGGAGGAGGAGGGGGATCGTCGTGCGGGGCTGGGGCCAGGATAAATCGTTCCAAGGCGTTCTGGAACGCTCACAGAGCAATCCACGGCGCTCTGTAGCGGCCGTGGCGCCCGATACATCTTCCAGAGCCGCCAAATGGTAAGGCGGGCACGTCCCTCTACAGGAGGAATCTGCAAAAATAATCAAAAAAATAGTCTGGGGACGACTTCTCGACTATTTCTGGAGTGTTTCGGTGTATTTTTCGAGCATTTTGATGTGTCGTCGCTTTTGCATTTTTCGTCCAAAATCCGTCTGTAGGGGGACATGCCCGACCTAACTCAAATATCAGAGATCCCATACTTTTCTGGGTCCGATTTGTTTCACAGTATTGGCCTCGTCTTAGAAAAGGGTGAGGCAGGGCAAGAGGAGGGGGGAGAAGGCCCGCCTCTTCAATTTCTTTTTCTTGTAAGTTTTAAGACATCGTAGGGTCTAAGCCCCAGGAATGGTTTCATGGCACGGTGTATGATTATCAGGACTCATAGGTCACGCTGGTTCTCATTGGTGAAGTTCCAGGAACAGCGCTCTGGCACGATCCAAGGCTGTCATCACGCAGAAGTCACGCTATTCGCCGCGTTGGACGGACAATTCTGTGTCGGCGAGATGCGATATTATCATATGTTTGCTCTCAACGGGGCACTGCCCGCAATGTTAATAGATTATCGTAGAGGCTTGTGAAGAGGGAGCTTGGATGGAGCTGTGCGTGGAGCTCATAAAAAAGAAACTTTGATGGAGAGTGTATTGCAACATCATGGATGCAGGTTGGGTTTGCAAAGGCATTCCTCCTCGTCTTCCTCCCCTTTCCTCTTGCATCCATGGGGTGTTCGCCTGTCTTGCAAATGGCGATCTTCTCGTGTGCTCGGCGTGGGCTCGACGCGGATTCGACCTGCACTCAGCGTGGATTCGGAGTGGAGTCGACCTAGATTCAACGCGGCGTCGTCGCAGATTCGACGTCGGCAGCGGCGCGATGGGATTCTGAAGGTTTTCCCGAACACGCAGTCTAAGATGGGAGAGAGAGAGAGAGAGGGAAAGAGAGAGAGAGAGAGAGAGAACAAAACAAAGAGAGGGAGAGAGAAGGTCGTCCCCCAAAGTGTCCACGGTTTGTTCGTGCCGACCGCTTCTCGCGGTAGGTTGCCTTCGGTCGGATCGGCGTGGCCGAAGAGGGGAGCAATTTCATGGGGGGCAAGAGCCGTGTATTAACAACATGTCTCCCGCGCGCGCAAAAGCCTTGCATTGAAAGCATCCCTGCGTGTTCTAGGACCGACCTCCCCCCTACTAGCGCGCCCCGTTTCGGCACACTCCTCACACGGTTCGTGGCCCCACAGGGAGCTCCACCGAGGGCCCAAGCGGCAGGGTCCTCATGCGCCCGACACATTTCGGCATACTTTTCACACGGTTCGTGGGCCCATAGGGAGCTCCACCGAGGGCCCCGGCGGCAGGGTCCGCATGCGCCCGACGCCCATGTCGGCACACCCCTCACACGGTCCGTGGCCCCATAGGGAGCTCCACCGAGGGCCTCAGTGGCAGGGTCCGCATGCGCCCGACGCCCATTTCGGCACACCCCTCACACAGTTCGTGGCCCCAAAGGGAGCTCCACCGAGGGCCACAGCGGCAGGGTCCGCATGCGCCCGACGCCCATGTCGGCACACCCTTCACACGGTTCGTGGGCCCATGGGGAGCTCCACCGAAGGCCCCGGCGGCAGGGTCCGCATGCGCCCGACGCCCATTTTTCGGCACACCCCTCACACGGTTCGTGGCCCCATGGGGAGCTCCACCGAGGGCCTCAGTGGCAGGGTCCGCATGCGCCCGACGCCCATGTTTGCACACCCCTCGCACAGTTCGTGGCCCCAAACCGCATGCGCCCGACGCCCACGTCGGCACACCCCTCACACTGTTCGTGGGCCCATACGGAGGCACCGAGGGCCCCGGCGGCAGGGTCCGCAGCGCCCGACGCCCATTTTTCGGCACACTCCTCACACGGTTCGTGGCCCCAAAGGGAGCTCCACCGAGGGCCCCAGTGGCAGGGTCCGCATGCGCCCGACGCCCATGTTTGCACACCCCTCACACGGTTCGTGGCCCAAAAGGGAGCTTCACCGAGGGCCCCGGCGGCAGGGTCCGCATGCGCCCGACGCTTATTTCGGCACACCCCTCACACGGTTGTTGCCCCAAAAGGGAGCTCCACCGAGGGCCCCAGCGGCAGGGTCCGCGTGCGCCCGACGCTCATTTCGGCACCATCTTCACACGGTTCGTAGCCCCATAGGGAGCTCCTCCGATGCACCAGTGACAGGGTCCGCATGCGCCCGAAGCCCATTCTGGCAAACGCGTCACACGGTTCGTGGCCCCATACGGAGCTGCGCCCGCATGCGTTCAACCCCACCCAGTGCAGCGCTTCGTGGCCCCATAGGGAGCTTCGCCGATGAAGGTATTCACAATTGCGCCCACAACTGCATATGGTTGGGTCCTTGGCCAGGATAATTTTGATATTTGTGATTTTTCGTCCAAAGTCCGCCTGCAGGGGGACATGCCCGACCTAACCATAGAGGTCGCCCGACGCGCCCCCTGAGCGCCCAGGCCCTCTCTGGATTTTTTGGCACACGGGGGGCCGGGCCCCTGAGAATCCTACCAGCCGGCCAGGGGACGGCAGTCCTTCCACGTCGCGCAGTTGCGTGAGCCTTGGGGCACTGCGTGCTCAAGGCACCGTGGCGAATAATTCTGCGCGCTGGAGAGAAAGGTTGCTGGACGGGGCCAGGACGAGGATAGCACCGTCCCAGAGCGTTCTGGAACGCTCTGAGGGCGCTCTGGAGCGCTCTGAAGAGGCCGCGGCGCCCGAGACAGATATCCTCCAGAGCCGCCGGATCTCGAATATTCTTGACGTATCCTCACCCGATTTGATCCTCACATCTCGGTGTATCCTCACCCGATTCTCGATGTATCCTCACCTTGGCTTCGTGCTCAGGTTGCTGGTCTTGGAGTAGTAGTCGTTAACGTAGTCGTGAGAGTAGTAGTAGTAGTAGTAGTAGTAGTAGTCGTAGTCGTAGTCGTAGTCGTAGTCGTAGTCGTAGTCGTAGTCGTAGTCGTAGTCGTAGTCGTAGTCGTAGTCGTAGTCGTAGTCGTAGTCGTAGTCGTCGTCGTCGTCGTCGTCGTCGTCGTCGTCGTCGTCGTCGTCGTCGTCGTCGTCGTCGTCGTCGTCGTCGTCGTCGTAGTAGCCGTCGTAGTAGTAGTCGTAGTTGTAGTAGTCGTAGGAGTAGTAGTCGTAGTAGTAGTAGTAGTAGTAGTAGTAGTAGTAGTACTAGTACTAGTACTAGTACTAGTATAGTAGTAGTAGTAGTAGTAGTAGTGTAGTAGTTAGTAG